ATATATTTTAGATTCTGTGTGAATATTATGTAATAAATATATAACATGCTTTATCTTTTCTCTTTAGGTAGCCTCCTGCTCTTATTAGTTGGACACATTTTCCTGTGAATAAGGAAAACAATGTAATCACACAACAAAATAATAGCAAAACAATGTACAATGAACTACAGTGGAAATATGCCAGATTGGCATCAATATAATCCCTCGCAATCAGGAATAAACGACGTAACATCTACTGCTCAAAATGTCAATTCAGGACACTTATCGTTTATTTCCAGTATTAGTCCAACCTGTTCGACACAATTGAATAGCTTAAATCTCAGTTCTGAGGGATTCGAGAAACACCAAAGTGATCCTAATTTTAATCCGAGGCATTTCCAGCCACATTTGTCAAGTAACATTTCGCATGGGCACAATGCCGCTGCTGACAATACCCCTCTGGCGTCAATGGTACAAATGCAAAACTGCATTGGTCATTATGGACCTTCGAATACAAGGAATCCCATGGTGGATAATTCTATGGACCCGAGAAACGCCCCGATAGGCGGTTTAAACGAGGAACTAGGTTATAGAAACAATCAGGTGCCTTTAAACGGGCCTATATCACATATGAATGGACCAAACGTGATGAATATGAATGCACCGTCGCACGGATCTATAGGACCACGAAACACCAATGTAAATTCGCATGCCGCTAGCAGAACGGCGGGTCCGTCAGGTCCTCCGCCGTCCTATGTTCCCTGCAAGGGATTGTGTTGCAATCCGGATCCTAATATAGGTTATCAGCAATGGGAAAAATATTGCTCCTATCAGAACAATGCGACTTACAGGGAGAACATTCGCTCGTCCGCCGGATATCAAGCGGACGCCCGACGATTCAACAGCGATTTCAACTTCAGGAAGGATAATTTCGACGGAAAGGAGGTTCTATCGCCCGTCGTACCACCGCCTAACGGGCCTAATGTGGATCACCGGAGAAATTTTCCCGATTTCAAGTATCGCAAGGATCGTTTGCTCACGCGAAATTATCCGCCTTCCTCGGGCATGTTGCAGAACTATCCTATGCAAAGCTACAATTACACGGGAGAGTATCAGAAATATTCCTACAATGTTAAAGAATATTCTAAGATGAGCGGTATGAATGTACCGAATCAGGGGATGGTTAAACATCAAGAGCAAAGCTTTGCAATACCTCAACAAAAGTACAACAGTAAGCAAGTATCGTATCAAAACAACGGCGGCACTATGATGCAGAGCAGCATGCCGTCCGCCACGAATGTGCCGAATCCGAATATGATTCCATCCGCGCAGAATACCTATTTTAATTCGCAATACCCGAGGAATCTACCGACGGAGAATACGCACGACTGTCAAGAGACTGCCACCGACAACGTATCCATGGTGAATAGAATGCAGGCGTCGACCATGCATGCTCCTCCCCCTCATCCACGATATCACATATATCAGCAGAAGATGGCAATGCAGAGATTCTCGATGGAAAATCATCTCAGGGAGCTGATGAGGATACCTGGGTATCAATCACATCCCAAGTATAAGGAATACGCTCATAGGTACAGAGAATTATTGAAATCACAGCAGTCCATCACATATCAAGGACCAATTCAGCAGACTCCGCCGTGCGTCACCGCTTCGACTGTCAACAATACTTCCACCATCCCACCCATAAACTTACAGTTCGATCAAAATGGCGTTTTGATTAATTCCAATTACATACCCGAAGCTTTTCCCAGAATACAACAAGCGCCACCAGTGAATCCTCAGGCGCCGCTGAACAGCTTGGCGGATAAGCAAGCAGGCAAGCAGGATGGCAACAGTATCCCCGAAATAGCAAATCACAATGTCCAAAAGCCGGAGCGATTGATCTCGCAGCAGCATAACAACGGCGGTCTCACGGCGGCTGTTCTGTGCTCGGAAAACGTTCAAAAGCAAGACGAATATTCTGCGCAAAAAAGTCTCGATCAGAGCCAGTTTGAAGTGCAGAAAACGGGAAGCGAGAACTTCAATAATTTAAATACAAACGCGGGCAACACGGTTATACGACAATATCCAAAGAAAATATCCAAAGAATTCGCCGACAAGCCGGAATTGGATGTACGACAATTCCTGGCTAATTGGGACGAGTCGGAAGACGAAGACGGCTCGAGCAACAACTTGCCAAACGCTATTTTAAGCAATTCGACGCCAGTGGTTGTTGTGGGTTACGAGAATGTGAATCTCTCGGCGAAAACGTTAGAAGATCTAAACGGCTCCAAGTCGGAAGAGATCACGTCGAACGTGATAACGTTCGAAAATCAAGATAAGAGCGGCAACATCGATGTGGTACCCGCGCAGGACTGTCTGACGATATCGTACTCGGCCGCGGAGAACATCGAGATGGCCAAGGATTCAACGTGCAAGGAAATCATATCGAAAGAGAATGTCGTACGACCGGGAAGTCATATCATACAGTGCATAAGCAACGGACCTGACGAAGTACCAACGATACACATAGTCGATAATCTGGAAATAGGTAGCATTTTGCAGGTCGCTAACGGTCAAACGGTTGCCGAAACTCTAGAGAGACAAGAAGCGGTGTCATTCTTTCGAGAGGGAACGGAAGTCACAGCGAGTACAATAACTCTCGAAGTTGATAAGAAAACCGACGGTGAATCCACTTCAACCGAATACAACGCTGAAACGCTGAGCAAAGACATCATCAAAGGTTCCTCTCCTTCTAGAACAGTGGAGGATACGTCGCAGACATCACGGATAAACAATCCGGAAATGGCGGCCACCTTGCCTACATCTATGAAGGATAACAACTTGGACACCGCTCAAGACATGAATCTGAAGAAGCAGAGCAGTTTCGCGAGCGAGGAATCTCATAATCCGGATGATATAAGTCTGCCGGATCTACCTACATCCGAGTGCACCCCGATCTCCACCACGCTAAATACGCCCATTCATTCCGACAATGAGGAGTCGTCGGAATCTCATGTCGATGATCTCACGATATCGACGAATCCGATAGAAATTATACAGAACAGTCCCATGATCAGTTTCACGCAATCGCCGACGAATGGTGAGCCCTATGATCACTTGAGCGACGAGCGGAATAAATCAAGCGATTCGTCGGAAAATAAATATCGAGCGGGGAATCATTTCAAGAACGACCGAAGTAATAATATGCTGGATCATGACGTTCTTGACACATTTGAATTTTCCACGAATATTGATAAGAACGAATCGACGATGATTGCAAAAAACGGTAAGGAACATGCGAATACAAATGAAAATTCGAAAAATAACAATGAGAAAGTATTCTTACTGCATGATGAAACGGAAAACGCGGAGGCCACCGATATGCGTATGACATTGACCTCTGCGAGTGAATATGAATTAAAGATCATGTCAACAGGAATGCAGCAGAATAAGTCGACGCGGAATAATAAAAATTCAACGATCACCAAGCGTCACGCAAATGAATCTCAAGCCACCTCCTCGGCGGTAAGCCCGGATGCTCCTAAACAATTACTTCAGGAAACAAATGCGAAAACCATTCGATATGCTAACTCGATGGAATTAAATAATATTGCATTGCAAAATATTACGAGAGATCCGGACCCCATTGAACTTGATGGCGGTCGAGATATTAATTATTCTGAAAAGAGATGTATGTCAACTTGTCAAACAATAACGACGAATACGATAAGTTCATTACCGACAAATGACATCGCACCGAAGAATTCCAGATCAGCGGTAGAAGATGGTTGTTCGACGAAGATTGTAAAAAGTAACTCGTCTATATCGCATAGTACAAAACATTCGATTTTAAGCAGCGATAAGTCGAGAAAATGCGAGACATTTACGGGTGATAAATTTGCGAAGGAGGATTCCCTTTTGGAAAAAAACGCCAACGCTAACAAAGCAGTAAAGATCGATGAGAAAAACTCGAAAAATTCCCGACACGTAACGCTTATGGATCATAAAAAATCAATTTCGGGCAATCAAACAATTTCTCGCAAGAAAAGATGTTTGTCCGAAAATACGGCGGATAAATTATGCGGCGAAACAATTATACATCACAATAAATATACTCAAGAAGCGGCAACGCGCAAGGACAAATCCCGCCCCGTCGAAAGCTTCAAAGAATCTAATATTTCGTATAATAAACCAAGAGTGATTGATAACGTTAGTATTGATGATAGCGGAGAAAGAATGCGTCTTCTAAAGGAATACAGAAGAATGAAGCACAAATCGTCTACCCTTGGGCTACAGAATAAAAATAAAGATACACAAGAAAGCTTTGATACAGCAAACGAGAAGCTTCATTCTTCGCCAAATCCTGAAGAAGCGTTGCAATTACCAAGCAATAAACAGCTATATCAGAAGGACGTAGCGAGGCTCAAGTCATCCGAGGAACAAGAGAAAAAGCGTGCCAGTATCCTGAAGACATTTGTAACTAAGAATATAAACCCCGACTTCGCTATTCAAGTTACGAATGTCAATTTAAAACTTAAGGATAATGATCATCAGAAAGAATCGCAGCATTTGGAAGAGGAGGCGAAGAATAGTGGTCCCCTTGACGCGATTAAGATTGAAATAAACGTGTCGTGCACTGAACGGAATACAACGGAGAAGCTTTTACATGAGAATATCAAGAATGCCGTCGCTGAAACGATCGGCCATTTGACTAATTCGATCTCGAACGGAGTTAGATCGAATTCCACAAGTATAACGGAAATTCAGTGCGACAAGAAGACAGCTTGCGATAAACCGGCGGATTGTCGCGACTACGAGAGACGCAATCGATCTCCAGCTACTTTAACGGAAACATCTACGTATACTGAGGTTCGCGAGGATTCAATCAACACGGAAGTGGTCAAACATGATGCGGTTAACACCGCATGCAAGGAAAACTCGAATAACGACGAAACATCCGGCTCGCTTAAGAAGAGACGAGGCTCGTTATTGGAAGGAAAATTAATCAACGATATATACGAAAAAAAAGGTATTTTACACTTTCAAGAATGGTAAGAAAATTATCTAGTTTTGTGATATAATAATTTTCGAGATATTTTTCTTTTAGGTAACATCGATACCGAAGCTGAGCCGGAATCAAACGTCTCGGAAATTTTGAAATCAGAGCAAGCGGCAATCAAAAGAAGAAACCTGCACGAAGAATCAGACAGAAAAGTCGCTGCTATCAATTTCTGCAGCGAGGAATTGAAAACCTCCTCAGATAATTTGCCATGCGTAGGATCAACATCGAAGAATGTCAGCGTTCAGAAGAAAGAGCATCAGGAGATGACTGCCGCTTCTTTATGCAG